GCTCAGTTCGCAGCGCTTCGCGGAGAGCCTCAAACTTCGGCGTTGGATGTCTTTTGCCTCTGTGTGTCTATATAGAAATACCTGAAAATGCAGGGTTCAGGGTTTGGGGTTTAGGGCTTAGAATGTGTATTATATGCCTAAGGGGGCCGAAGTACCTACTTATTCCAAAGTAGGGTTTCTACATCAGGAATTAAGACGATGGTTTAGGGAGTTATCTCCCATACGCACACTCAGGACCCTGTGGATATATGTATATAAATATGTATATATATATATATACATATACATATATACATATATACACACACGCACATATTTCTGTGTGTCCTTGCATGCACGTATATGAACATGCGTGCCGCTGCCTGTATGTATTTGCATGTGCAGATGACTATGCATAAACATTCGCATATGCACACGAGTCAACCATGTACACGTATGCATGTACATGTTCACTCATGTGCAGACAAGTAAGTACCTACCTACCTACCTACCTACCTATCTACTACCTATACCTACCTACATACATACATACATGTGTGTAGATGTATATATATATATATGCACATGCATATCTGAATGAGCATCTGTATATATATATATATATACATACAGAGACAGAGAGGGAGAGAGAGAGAGAGAGAGAGAGAGAGAGAGAGACAGAGACAGAGACAGAGAGAGAGGGAGGGAGTATGTGCGCATACGAAGCGATTGTAGTTGGTTAAAGTCTATGCAGATGCCCGTGAAGAAAGAACGTGGGTAAACGAATTGGAGGCCCAATGATGCCACGAGCAGTTCTAAATTGATATGTTTCTTGTTATAACATGTTGTTAGTCTACTATAGTACACTAATAGTAGTAGTTTGTTCTAATCTTTTGTATTATGCTATATTATACTGTAGTAATAGTAGATCATATAGGTTTGAAGCTGACTCTGACATCCCCAACTTGCTTCCCATAGATGAAAAAGAAACCCAATCGGTTGCGAACAGGGTTCGACAAGACTGAGCATACTCACCGCTCAGACTTGGCTATGCGTGCGCACGGCTAGAATTACAAGGTTGCGGGAGCAGAGAGCCCAATTGCCCCCCCTTCCCTAAGGATCCATAGGCCCCATTACTTCGGTAGCTGGGTTCAAGACATTAGTAATGTAGCTTAGTAATTTGAGGAGTACATGCCTTCATAGATATGTTGGCCCTGCAGGCTAGTTACGGAAAGAGCTCTCTGCCGTTTCTACAGCCATTCTCCCCCTGCTGGGCAATTGTACCTGGAATTCCAGAAGCTAAGGCCCTGCAGTCGAAACTACCATGGGCTCCGAACCACCGAAAGCCTCCACTCCCCGTGTTGGACCCTGCCCGCCGTTAGACCCCCAAAACCCTGTAATGGAACCCTGACATCGAATCCTTATAGAACCCTTTAAAAGGCCCGCCCCAAACCCACAGCTCCTTAATGGAACCATTCGAACCGTTGAATTAACCACACCGAGCAGCTCAAAAGCAGAGCTCCAAAACCGACAAAGCTCGCTTCGGTAGAGGTTTGGCCTGCGCCGGCTAGTGAAGCCCTACCTAGAGGCTCCATAGTAGTTGCTTTTCGGGGGTTCCTAAATAGAACCCTATAAGGTAATCCCAAAAAGGAACTACTATGGAGCCTGTGGGTAAACCCTAAACTGCTTAAGCCTACCAAAGGATTCTTGTTGATCCCGGCTACAACCTCACAACCTCAGCAAAGCTGACTGAACGAAGGGAACATGGAGTCTCCAGGTAATTGCAATGTCCGTTATCCAGGAATCAAAATCCTACCTGCGAACTGCCAGGAACGTGCTGAGCTTCTGGCATGAGTTGCAGGGTCTGTATAAGGCTTGGGAATTTCAGGCTTAGCGTTCAGGACCGTCGGCCTCCATGTGTGCATCTGGACGTGGGTCGGAAAGGGAAACTGCTCGCCCCCGCAGGAATACATCTTGAAGAGAGTGCTCACGTTGTACGCACCGCCTCGAAGCTCCAAAAACCAAGAAACCAAAGATACCGATACCGCTGAGTTTGAGGAATACACCATGTGAGTATTCTATCATGACTAACCCTAGGGGTCCAGTTACCTATATAGTAGGTAGCTGACCATATACCATATACCCCAGTAACCCATTACTTGGGGAATTGGAGCCCTAGGGTAAAGTGATGTGAGGCACACTCCTTGCATAAGGAGTCGGAGAACAGCTGGCGCTCTGGGTAATCCAAGGACCTGCTTCCCTCCTCCCCATGATTCCTGATACCTCCACAAAACAAAGGCGCAAAAACACTCGAAGCCGTAAACCCCCTAACCCTAAACCCTAAACCCTAAACCCTAAACCATCCTACACCTTAAACCCCAAACCCTGAAGCCGAAAAACCCTAAACCTCAAGCCCGAAGCCCAAACCCTAAACCTCGGACGCTAGTATCCCGAACCTTCACTGTCGGCGAGGCTATACAAACAACAGCTCTTCCTGTGGGCTTTAACTTTACTGGGCCTCAGGAACTCTAGGGTTCGGGGTTTACGGCTCAGTTTGCATCGTCTTCCGTACCGTGCCTAGATTTTCCCAAGAACTCGGAATCACCCTCTTCGGGTCGCTGGTCGCTTCTGCACCTATCGGGTGTCTGGCTTCTTCTGTTTATATCGGGCACCTGTTTTGCTATAGTTATTAAAAGTGTGGGGCTCGAGGGTAACCTCCCAAAATCTCAATCCGCAAGCAGACTCGGCCTAACATCAGCGGTGAACAAGCAAGAACGAAACAAACAAGCCCGCGCTCATCCTCGAACCCGTAAATGCGAGGAAACCTGAACCCAGTAGACCCATCTAAACTCGAAGGCGGCCAAACCAGAAAGTTGCCTCAAAACCGAACACCTACAGCCCTCTATAGCCTAAACCCCTTATCCCTGAAGCTAAAGCCTCAAGATACCCCAGATGTGTCAAACCCCGGACCTACACCCACAAACCCTGAGGTCAGCTTTTGCTTCGAGGTGCCGTGGGCATGGAGTGCCTCGACCAAAGCATGTGACTGCCTCGCAAACAGCTCGTCAGCTTCTCCCAAAAACTCCCAATGAAATTGACTGATGGTTTAGGGTTTAGGTAGGATTCCGGGTTAGACTTCAGGATTTAAGGAATTTAAGGCTTGGGCTCACTACAACAGGGATCGTTCCACGCAATCAATTCCGATGTACCTTCAGAAGGATCCTTTCGCAAGGCATGCGGGTCTTCCGGCTTTAAGGGCGCGGAAATGAGACCTAACACTATCCCTTTGCCACGGAAACTCTTAACATGATAGAAGCTGTATTTCTACATGTTCCTATATTTCTACATGTTCCTATACTCCTTAGTTAAGGGATTTTCAAAGATCTGGGAAGTTGAGGTGCTTGCCTCACACAGGTGGGAGTGGGGCAGTGCGTTTCTGGGCTGGTGGACTCGACGTTTTTTGTTGTGTGGCTTTCAGGCCTGTCGGATTACCACCCCCAAAAAATCAAACCCTAAATCCTAAGCCCTTGAACATCCTAACAACATTAGGCTTTGAGGCTTGGGGTGTCGGGTCTGTCCTGAGACCGCCCTTGCCGACTCCGAAAGCGGTCTGGTCAACACGCACCGACTTCCGAACTACATTAGATGGGGCCCCCCACCCTGTCCTTAATAGTGGTATAATGGGAATATAATAGGGCCCTACTATAATCCTTATAGTCACTATTACGGGGTGGGGGCCCCTTCTAACACTTAGAGTAGATCTACAAGCTCTTCGCAGTCCCTGTAGAATCCCTCAATGTGCACCCCAAAACCCTGTTGAAGTCATTCAAGCCCCTTATGATGCCGCCCACCGCCCGAGCCTGGGTGGCACCATGCTGTCGTTTAGCCCCTGGACGACCTGGACAGAACCTCGAAGGATATGCTGGCTTCAAGGGAATGATGGTGTCCTTGCGCTTAGAGTTCAGGGCTGTAGGATTCACAGTCCGGGACTGAGGAATTGCGATGTGCAGTTGCGGGCGTAGGATTTTAAAGCTAACGGATGTAATGCATCGTGTACTTTAGATGCAGTGGCCCGTTCTCCGAGAAACAGGCTTCCGGGTTACGATCCCAAAAGCTAAGACAAATGAGCCCTGAGCCCTGCCACCTCAATCTTTGCGTTTGGGCCCATGAAAGTTGAACCCTAAAAATACATGCTAAACGCTATGATGACATGGTATAGGGACTGGCCCAAAACAACGCTGAACTAAGACCTGAACACCCTGAAGCTCAAAGGCTCGAAAAGCCCCAGGCGCGTGGTCTCAAATCGCTCGATGCCCCTTTGGCAACCATAGCTCTGGGATCCTCGGATCAGAATAATCTACAAAAAAACATGGTTTAATCTATTTTAAATTTTGTTCTGTCATAGAAAACTAAAGTAAATTAGTTGCAGCATAATTTTTAAAATTCTATGGAATGGTCCAGTCTATGATTATCGCATATCATGGTAACCAGTTTGTTACTTACATACATACATATATATATATATATATAGTCTGTTACAGTATACGATAAAACATGATGGTGCAATGTAAGCCCCTGACACAAACTGCCGCTTCAACGGTCCGGATATTAGGATCCTGATTCTAACCCAAAAATAAACCTGAAGCACGGAGAGAGGTTTACTATTCAGGGGTGCGTTATGCATGTTGAGGGTAGAAAAGTAGCCTTGCTGATCCGGTTTGTAACCAAAGCTGCAAGCAAGGGAACACCAGCAATGCTCAGTGATGCTCCTGCTTGAAACAGCTCATGTTTACTGCCCTTCTAAGAAATATCGCCAGTGGCTGTACGTGTTCTGAGGGCCGATCCTATGGAGCAGTCTCATACGCGCGAAACTCTTCCAAGCCAGTATCAAACATTCTCTGCGAGCATTGCTCTCTTGTCACAAGCCAAGCTCCTTCCACAAACTAGTGTTTCCGCGTGCAAGCTGTGTGAAGATGCACCATGCAACTCCTCCACAGCTTCCAATGCCTCGACCACTCTGTTCAAGGTTTCACCCCTGTGACATTCGATAGCACGGTGTGATGGGCAAGCTCCGTGACGGTTGCTTCCACCTGCTGCTTCGCCCGTAACCAGGTGTTCGCCAGCGACTTCCAACAGGAAACCTCCCATCTGGGGCGACTCGACAGTGTTGGGTCGTTCACCATTGCTTCCACCTTTCCTTTCAGCTGCGATGTTTGTCTCTCCTGGTAGCCCTCTGGAAGCAAGACGGGTGGATATCCATGTGCTTTGAGATGGTGTACCCACCCGCCGGGGTGCGGCTTCGCATCCCCCACTTCGCCCAAACCCACGGAGACGTGGCTGTGTAGCCTCCCAAACCCCACCCCAATGCACCATACATGGAGTACCTTGTGAAGCAACAACATTTAAGCCTATGCATGCTACTGTCAGGAGGTCCAGCACATGCGAAGCCTTCATGGCCGAACACAAGTCCATACGCCTGTTTCGTGATCACTTCTGGCCTGGATGTCTCTGCCTTGGCCCAGCGGAAATCTTGTTTGAATGAAGTGGTGGGAGGATCATCGCCACCCTATAAACCCCGGTAAGCAAGCCGTACAAACCCTAAGCCCCAAACTGGCCCAAACCCCTGCCGGACCAAACCCCGGACCAGTCCATGCTTGGGATAATAATGAAAAGTTAAGTTTCGAGTGATTCTTCGGTTTTTTTATATCATATGCAAATGTAAAATGTTACCCAACTATGACAAAGCTAAGCTGAAGCCAGCATCATAGAGGCCGATGTCTGCCCCGGCGAAGAAGCTGGCGAAGCGCCAGCCTGGATGCTTCTCAGAAAACTCCAAAGGCTTTCGGATTTGGGGCTTCAGGGTCTGTGAGTCCATGGCTTGATGTTTAGGGGTTGGGGTTTAGGTTCTATAAGGAGGAAGGGGGACACTGCTCAGGATTGCCCAGGTTTCGTTGTTTTAAAACAAATACTGGGAACTGGCTCGTTTGTTGCCTACCAGTAGCATTCTATTTCGGAGCGCTACGGCCAAGATGATGGTCATGAGTTTCATGAGCATCATGATCACGTTCATCCACGTTGGCTGTATAGCTCGAGAAGATGACGATCGAATGAACACACGAATATGGCGACAGACCACGTTGCGGCCCGCAAGTAACAGCTGCGATAGCATTAAGCAGCAGTAAAAGCCCACACCATTCAGAAAAGATGCAACAGCAATCGTGCAAGGAGCAACAACAACAGCAGCAGGAACAAACCCATGTCTCGATTTGGGGAATTCTGAAAATAGGGGACCCTAATACAATCCCGTAAGCTATAGGATCCTTATTATAAGGATCCCAAAATAACGTCCTCCTAAGTTTGGAAACTCTCATTTCGCTGTTTTGTCTGTCGAAAGGGATTCTGTTTTCGCAGCTTCGCCTCGTGCAGCTGTTGCTATTGACTGGCAGCTCCATTACGACAAGCCTTCCGCAAGTTTGAAAAACGTACTATTTCGGGGGTTCCTTTAAAGGGGTCTATAGGGATTACTAGCAGGGGTATTATGGGGGCTGAGTGTAGGGGCCTTAACAAATACCTACACTCTTTGGTGAAGAGTCTCGGAGTCTCCCAGGTCGTACAGGAAGACGCCCCATGCGAACTTCCCTGCTGGCATGCATGAGGTTTATCTGTGAATTTTATGGCATAAGGCTTTTGCAACCGTACCCCCGAGCCCTGAATTTTTAACTTGAGACCCATCTCTGAAGTGGGCACTTGGAGGATCATGGGACTTAGTAAGTAAGGTTGTAAGTACCTTCATTGGGGTTCTGAGCATAGCTACCCTAATAAGCCTAGTTACTAGTCTCATGATCCTTTGAGCAGGCAGGTGGCCAAACCATTTGGCCAATGCCAAGGCAGGATCGGCAGGACCCAGTGGCAAAGCTGCAGAGATCTGGAAGCTCAGCTCGTCCTGGGGGCAGGACAACTTGAAGGCTCATGGGACTTAGTAAGTAAGGTTATAAGTAGGTCATTATTAGGATAACTCCACGTAGAGGGGCTTATAACCCCAATTATAACCTACTTACTAAGTCCCATGGTCCTCCAAGAAGGGCTACTATCACGGGTTCGATGCTATGCAAGTACTGTACCGGATACTGCGACTATCAGGGATACTGTGCGGGATCATTAAGTTCATACATGAGTTCATACCTGGACGTAGAAGTCTCAGATCGCAGTCTTAGTCGAAGTGGCATCCCTCGTACAATTGCTGGTGCTACTGCTACAGCTACCACTACAACTACAACAACTGTTGCCAGTTCGAGTCCTAGTTACGATGACGACCACGACTACTAGGAGGACGAACACCAGGGCGAGGACTTACCACTTACCCCTGGCACTGCTACTTGCTTCTCCTGCTCATGTTGCTGCTGCTGCTGCTGTTGCTTGCTGTGCTCGCTCTTCTGATGTTCGTGTTTTTAGTGCTTCTGCAGTTGTTTGGTATCTTCCTGCTATACTACTATACACAATGATACAGATGTGCGCTCACTCGATGCAGTGTTCTGTCTACTGTGGTGTGCCAAGGCCTTTCAGGCAGAATAGTAGCCTCGAGGTCCGTTTGTCTAGGGTTTCGGTTTAGGGTTTAAAGGGTTTAAAGGGTTTAGGGCTAGGATATAGTCCGGGGAAAGGTTGCAAGTGGCTGGCTGAATAGACCACATGCACGACACACTCCAGGCAGACCCTTCACGTGCAGCTAGCTCTGCGTTGTACCGGCATGCTCCCGGACTGCAGAACCATTGAAAGAGAATCTGTGAACATCTCTCTGAGCCCGCGATAGATCCCTTGCAGAACCATTCTACACTGCTTAATATCTGCTAAATTCTGCAAGAACCCTGAACCCTAAACCCCAAACCCGAAACCTCAAGAACCCTTCACCCCTAAACCCCCAAGAACCCTTTATTGCCGAGAGCTGCCTGGAGGTCATAAACGCCTGCGTCAATCCACGCTGCAGGGATGTCGGGCCTGTGCCGGAAGTAAAGAAAATCAAAAAGGAAAAGGATGGATCCTTAATGGGGAACCCCCTATCCTATAATGGGCTATATAATGGGTATATAGTGGCTATATTAAGGGTATATACCCTAGGGGTCCTTATTAAGGGTCCCTCCTTTTACCCTTGGAGAAAAGTACGGCTTAGGGGGTAGGGTCTGGGGTTCAGGGTTTGGGGAAGTAAGGAAAGGACTGCTTAGAGTTTAGGGTTTAGGGTCTAGGGTTGAGGTTTAGGGTCTAGGGTTTATTGAGCATCGTTTACGTTCCTGAGTACTAACCTACGCTTGCTACAAACCCTAAACCCAAGTGCATAGTTGGGCGCTTGGACATCTAGGGTTAAGTGCTGTGCATTAGCTCTACTGGAGCCCCAAACCCTGCAAATAATTGGCAGGTTTTGATCCCTTCATGATAACATAAATCCCTGTTATGATCATCATCAGTTATAGGGTATAACCCCTCAAAGCAGTAGGTCATTGAGTGTTTAGGGTTTAGAGTTCAAGGTTTAGATGTACTTCGCCGGGTCTCTCGTAGCCAAAGGCCGTGAAGGCCGCAAGGCCACCCATGGAAATACCTGGGCTGCGAAAGGATAGGTTCAGGGTTTAGGGTTTAGGGTTTAGGGTTTAGGGCTTAGAGTTTAGGATTTAAGCTTCGGGGTTCATGCTCATGTGGGTTTCGGGATTTGGCAGCCCTTCCTTCAAACTTGTTGATACACTAGGAGTCTTGGAAGAAGCGGCTATGGCATGTCGTATAGCCCAGGAATAAAAAGGGTGCCCTTTTTCGGTAAAAAGGGGCTTGTAAGGGAACCTAAACCCTAAAAAAGGTAATAAGGGCCTACCTACTCTGGGTCCTAGAAATTAATATGGCTCAGAGCTGACTCGGAGCTGAAGCATTGGTTGAAGGCTGTTCGACCCTGAGCCCTACCAAAGTACCCTAAACTTACATGATTCGAGTGAACCCCCACTCAAAACCCCGGACCCTGCACCCTGAAAATCCTAAGATCCAAACCCTCCAAACCGATCAAAACCCTCAAAACCCCAGACCCTAAACACTGCACCCTGACAGCCGCAAGATCTAACCCTCAAAACCCCCCAAGCCCTAAACGCTTAGGCTTAAGTTCAGGATTTCCCTCAAGCCTAAACCCTGAACCCTAAACCCTAAACGAAAACCCGCAGGCCCTCAGGGGGACCTCATGAGTCGAATGGCCCATCACTCCCACCTTTCTCTTATCCAGCTGTCCGCCAAGCAGGCCCTCCGGATCCTGCACGACAACATAAACGAGCTTCCTAAACTAAGTTTATGTAGGTGTATCTTGTTTCGATTTCAGAGTTTAGGGTTTAAGGCTCGGGGTTTGGGTTCAGCATTAAGACTTCGGGTTTAGGATTTAGGACTTCATGTCCTGACATAGGCTTGGGGCTGAGGGCTCTCTAGTTTGCGGGTACATGGGGCCCAGAAATTCAAAATCCTAGTGCAAGTAAAGGTCTACATGGCGTCCTGAACCGAGCATTACAACGACAAGAGCCCAACATACCTAAGAATCAGGCACACCGGTTTAGGTGTAGGTGAGTCTGATAGAAGTGCATGATGATGAGTCAGCGCGACACTTAAGGTTCTGCATTGCTGGTAGCTCTTGAGAGAGCGGGAAGTCGTGCGAACCTTGAGCGCCAGAACTCCTCCATAGATCTGCTAGATGCTGATCTTACTCCAAGTACCATACACACGAATATTCCGAAGCAAGACATTGCCTGGGCTCTTGTTCAGGATTCTGTTTCAAGCCACCACAACACGGTAATCATCTTGTTGACTGTAGATCCCTATTATGGTGTTGTGAACGAAACTCCTTACCAAGAACCCGGCTTCACTAGTCAAGACATGTCCATCAGCACAGTCCCGATTTGTGAGTGTGAAAGCCTCGAAAAGAAGTGGCTAGTCTCCGCAAGAACTGGCACGTACGTGTAAAATTGCTGTGAATGCTAAACTGCAAAAGACGACGTTGCCACACCTACAAAACCTACCATCTACTGCCCAGGTGCACACAAGACATCCTACTAAGGATCCCCTGTTTGATGTGTGATTTGAGGTCCCTAAACCCTATATAGACCAAAGGAACCCTTATAGATCCCCTTACATGGATTTTGGAGACTCTGGAAGCACCTTTGCTTTGAAGCCTCTCTGCGTGATGTGTGAGTTGCCCAGACCTTCCAAAATCCCTTAATTAAGGAATATACCTTAAAATCTTATTAGGGATCCTATTATAATTTAAGGTATATTCCTTAATTAAGGGGTTTTGGAAGGTCTGGGTGAGGTCTATCATAACACCGCTTGACTAAGCAGTTTGGAGTCTCAGACTCAGAGCAGGCTGGACCCCAAACCATGATCCTCTAAGTTGGGACTTAGTTAGTAGGTTATAAATGGGGTTGTAAGTCCCCTAAGTGGGGTTATCCTAATTATAACCTACTTATCACCTAGTTACTAAGTCCCATGAGCCTTTAAGTAAGCTACCGGGATCTTAATACGTAGAATAGGGTTTTGAGACCCGCTGTACTATTTAACTACTGTATACCTATATACTAAGGAAGCCTAGGATTTTTATTGAAGCTACCCGTAGGCTCCATCGTTTTTCCGTTTTTTGGGATTACCTTGTAGGATCCTAAACTTACATCACAAAAAGGAACTACTATGGAGCCTTATGGGTAAACCCTATGAACCTAAACACTCCGTGCAGCCCCAAATGCTACGAAATACTGGTGTTATGACCTTATACTCGTAGGGTATACCCCTAAACCCTAAACCCTAAACCCCTAAACCCCTAAACCCTAAACCCTAACCATTAAAACAGTAGGTTCGGGGATCCCTGGGCTTGTCCTCCACTGCAAAGTCCCAGGCGCCCAGGACATCCAAAAACAGATCCTTGAGTCGCTAGACTCCAGCGTTTTAAGATGTTTGGGGGTATTTGGGGGTCTGGGGTATAGCATTTAGAGGGTTGTGCTCCAGCGCTGTGGCTGTCTGAATAATCAGTAGCGTTCCCTGGCGCTCCCGAACATATGTTTAGCATACACCCCCGACAACAACCTGATCTAGTCGCTGGCTTCACCATCGAAAAACTTTGAAAACGCTATGGGCTCTGACCATCCAAGCCACGATTTAGGCTTACAAGCTTTGGAACTGAGCTGTTGCTCCCGGGACAGGGAGCTGTAGGGTCAATAGAGGTGCCTGGTTGACCTTACTGTTCCTTCCGGCTCCTCATGGTATTGGAATTTTGCTGGACTATCCCTCCAAACCCGATTCTAAAAAGTAAGGGAACAGATTGTAGTCCTTCGGGCTCACGGGTCTATGAAGTGCCTTAACACAAGCCCAACAACCCCGCGCCAGCATCGTATTCAAGAGCTCGAAAACAAGATTGGCACACATTGAGGCCCGAATTGGAGTTTCCCCAAAATCAGGTACCAACATATACTACCCTAAACAGTAGGATCCTTATTAGGACCCCCAAATAAGGTACCCCGGAATTTTGGGAAACTCCCAAATTGGGGGCGTCAAGGTTCCAGGAAGTAGAGCCTAGATCTGAAACTGTCGTCGCTGTAGGCTCCCGGCCAGAGGTTTAGGGTTGAAGAAGTACCTATAAATCAAACAACCCAGACCTTCCAAAATCCCTTAATTAAGGAATATACCTTAAATCATATTAAGGATCCTACTATAATTTAAGGGTATATTCCTTAATTAAGGGGTTTTGGAAGGTCTGGGAACCTACCTTTTTTGCGCTTCCTGCTGCAGATTATGGCTTCTTTCTTTATCACGAAATTTGAGAGTTTAGGGATTAGGAAGGATGCTCATTTGCTTAATGCTTCTGTGCCAAGCACCATACACCACATGTCACGCTGAGTTGCGTAGCCCCAGCGGATTCTCTGACCCACGCGGTGGATTCCGTGATGCCGGTGATTCGGCAGCCTTGATGCACATGTATCTGCAGGGATCGAGAAGGGATTTAACAATTCAAGCTTTAGACAGGTGTATTTTTAATGTATAGACCCTAAACTTTACACCCTATGAAGGGACTATACGGAGGAATGCTTAATTGTTCAGACCTAGAACTCAAACCCACCGCCTGACGCCAACTTAACGTGGCGAAGGCCTCTGGCGGCCGTCATTCTCACCACCGACATTCAAGCAACAACATCATGGTCCGTTTTTTGGAGTGCAAAAGCAGCTCGTAACGCCGCAGGAAACTACTGCTTGGGGCTCCTATGGTGGAGGACTCTCCAGCCGTTAGGTGGTGAGCACTTCTCAAGATTAGGTCCCGCTTTATAGGTCCAAAAACAATACGGCACCCTTGCAAAAAAAGAACACAAAAGGGACTGGTCTCACCTACACTTCTCGTTGTGTCAGAGCCACGGGTTTGGCTTTAGGGAATGGGGTTTAAGATCTCGAACTTACTGCTTATAGTGGGGATGGGTTCTAAATTAGATCTAAACCCCTAAGCAAGGCCATCTTCAAAACGCCCGTGCGAATCAGTGCCCCTAAACCCCCTAGAAACATAACAAGGAAGGGACCACGTATGTACGGCCAGCAGCAGGACAGAAAAGCCGATGGACCGCAAAAGGTAAGCAGTGAGCATGACCTGATAGGAGCTCTGGTGGCTGTAGCGAATCCGGGCTCGGGGTTTTACTAGGGCTCCTAAGAGGGATCCTTAAATGGATCTGCAAGGGGAGTCTGAGTAGAAGTATACATGCTCGGAATGCGTTCCTAATTTGGGTTATCTAGATTCGACTAAACAATACACGAAAGCCTGAAGCCAGAAAAGCCTTACTACCGGGTTTAGGGTTAGGGTGTCCACCAACATGCATGTTGCTTTGGTTCTCTACCACTCTAGCAATTATCCATGGCTGTTCATAGTTCTGGTTTGTCATACCTCTCGCTGTCTGAAACCTACTGACTTTTGAAACCCCCCTTGCAAACCTTGGCAGTGTCCTAGGTCCTAGACCCTAAACCCTGAACCCTAAATCCTAAGCCCTACATTTTAAACCCTAAGCCCTGAACCTACATCCTTAACCTGAACCCTTTGCCTTAACTCCTAAACCATGAACCCTAAACCCTAAATCCTGAGGCCCCTTATGAACGCTAAATCCTTAAACCGAAATGCTGTAAACCCTGTAAAGAACCCCTATGAAATCCCTAAAGGAAAGGAACAGGAAAGGATCCCTTTCTGGGCACAAACCCGAAAATCTACACCCTAAACTCTAAAAGCCTCAACCCTGAAACCCAAAACTCTAAACCCCAAAACGAAGGAGACTCTGAGCCAGGTGGCGGTGTTGTCGTTGAAGTCAACGTTGTTCCCGTGCTGGACGATGATGCCTTGCACTGCGCTGCATCATGGAAAAGCCAGCCCAGTAGCATCCAACCCACCCCCGAGGCGCGAAACTGCCAACTCATGAAAAGCGCCTCTGATCCTGAAGTTTGATTACCTGCTGATTCCTCCAAAACCCCAAAGCCCTAAATCCTAAGTTCCTAGAGCCTGCACCTGAACACCGCATCCTCAACCTCATCTCGATCCGCACCCAGACTGGGATGAGACCTGCCCCTTCATGAGTCAGGCTTTAGGTCATGTTGGGTTTATAGGGTTCCTTGAAGGGATCTATGAGGGATACTATAAGGATATATGGGTGATACCAGGTTACAGGTTAGGAACCCACAACGCTTGACAGATCCCAACAGCTTCTCTCCGAGTGTCGGGGTGTGCTGCCATCGTCCCCGGGGGCTGGAAGCCACCAAGCCTGAGGCGTTTCTTTACTAGGTTCCGCAGTAGCCCTTTAATGAGGGTAACGAGGGCACCCTTTGCCGTTTATTATTCAATTTTGACAGGGGGTCGAAAAAGACAAACAGGAAGGGCAAAAGGGTACATTGGGGAACCTAGTAAACATGGAGCATATAGGGATACTACCTGCTACTGCTAACAGCTTGGGGCCTAAGGGTTTGAGCATCACTAGCATTTCCAGTAACCTAGCAATAAACAAGGATCTCTCTTTGGTAATGGGTAGTTCGGGAAGTGGTATAAGGAACCTAAGGCCGCAAAAAGTGAACATGGGTTTATTGGGAGACCGAGTTTGAGAATGCAAATTGCACTTTGCCAATTCACAGGGGGCATGTTGGGGCAACCGTTCATCCTGCAAGCACGCATCGCACAAATTCAATCTTTCCGGCTTTAAGGCGGCTGAGGTTTAGTGTCTGTGTGTGTGTGTGTATATATATATATATATATATTTGTGCAGTTCGGGGTTTGGACTCAGGGCGTCGGGCGGTGATGATGACGACGGGAGCTTCTGTGGCACTGCCGAACAGACGGGGCATCAGGGTGACGGGGCATCAGGGTGATGTCAAAGATGCCCGGGCTAATGCTGCTGATATGGGGTGCTCAGTGACGAAAGCCTGCGTTCTCTGCCAGTAGTACATATTCCTATTGAGGTAGTGCAGGACTTTGCACATCAACTGCCAGGCATGTGACAACGACTGCATGGCTCACCGCAGTCCCATCTGAAGCCATTGAAACTCGCTTCGCTCGTGGTGAAAATCGTAAACCCAAAGCCTCAACCCAGCAAGAACACTACCTCCAGTAAACTATACCCCGAATAGAAAGCCTATTCTATAATCATCACGTCATATCACATCCAAACTCCAGAAGCCTCAAGCCACATCTCCTTCCGAAAAACCCTAGAAACCGAAAAGCGATCAAACCGGGGCCTTCAGGTTCAAGGTCTCCTGGCCTGTCACGCATTCGGAGCAGCACCCTAAACCATAAACCCCCTAAACCCCGAAACCCTAAACCGAATTTCGGGTTTAGGAGTGAGGGAGCACTACTTCACTTCTTCGGGTTGGGCTTCATTTTTCATGGAGAAGGCGGGTAGATGCAGCCCAATGAATCACGTCAGCCAGGGAACCCGAAACCCTACCGAGGAGACAGAGCCCGAAACCAAACTGAGTGGACAGAGAAACAGTGTTCAGATCCTGCCCTGGGCTGAGAGCTTGGGCTTACTTACCTTTGGTTAGTAGGGAATGGAAGAATGGTAGTATTAGTAGTTATAATTGTATCCCATGCCTCCATTCCCTACTAACCAAAGGTAAGCTTAGAGCATGGCGATACTGTACACAAACATTTGCAATGATGTCCAGAGCTCTACCAGCCAAGAAGTCTCACATCCTGAGAAAGAAATCCTCAACCCCACACCCTGCACTTCACCTGAAGCGAGCCTCAACAAAACCGATAAACCCATGAGAAACCTGTCTTTTTAGAGGTCTATGATTTCCTGAAACAAGTCCTTAACAAGGTAGAGTCTTCGGGTCCATTTATAGACCCATGAGTAACCTACCATATCCATCCTAGGATTTGGTTCCAAGAGACAGATCAGAACTCATAAACGCCAAGATCTTCCATTCGAGGGCACTGAAGGGTTTGGGGTTTAGGGTTTAGGGGATTAGGGTATTCCTTCTTCAACTTGAAGACCTTTCCCTTGATTAAGAACGAACTGTTCAAGAATGCTTCAATCCACGATCGCTTAAATCTTGAACCTGGAATCCTAAACCCTTAGCCCCTACGGAGCATTGATTATCCTTAGGGGTTATGTAGATCTCTGGGAACGCAGGGGCCTCAATGCTGACAACAAGAGGTGAGAGCCTCTGCAAAAACTCTATACTTTTCCCTCCGGGTCCATGTAACCAAATCGGATATACTTAGGCCTTAAAGTAATTAGTCCCTACAAAGGTACATCGCGGCCAATGTACATACTAGTTGGGTACATGGACCCTTTAGGCTCATTTGTCTACGAAATTTTTTGTTTGTGAGTCTCCGGGTTGAAGGCTCGAACGCTAAAACCCTAAACTCTAAACCCTTACCCTAAACTCCAATGCCTTAATCCGAATTCCAAAAGCCTAAGGCCCTGAACCCTGAATCCTCAACCCCTAAACCCTACAACCTCTAAACCCTTTAAAGGAACCCTTAAAGGAAACCCTATAGATCCCTTTAAAGGAATCCTAAACCCCCTCAACTTTGAGGGCTCAAATCATGCCGAGTTTGAAATCCAAGTGTCCTTCTTTTCCTGGCCGTGACCTGAAGGTAACCAGCGAGAATGGCTGGGCCGCACCTTGAGGGCATCCAAGTGATATGTTCAAGGTGCGCGGGGTGCAGGGGGTGCATATAGGATAAATCCCTAAACCCCTAAACCCCTAAACCCTAAAACCCTAGGATCTAAACCTTAAACCACCCTTTAGAACATGCTCAACAGCACATGGCGAATCTCTAGTTAACACAGCCCAGGCCCTTGATTACACTGGCTTAGGGTGTAGGGCATACTCCAGGGCTTTCCTGCTACCTCAGTAGTGCATTGCTGGGCTACATAGCAGACAAAGCATAATGTTCGTAAAGTTGGGCAGTTCTCCAAACTAGGGTTTCTTTGAAGTCACCGAAATAAAACGACACCTGAAAAAAGTGTCCTAAACGGGACCCCAGTAGTATCATCATAAAACGGACACCAGCTGGTCGTTTCTATAAAGCACCCTGTCGTAGTGTGAAGCTGCCGGGTCTCTCGCTTTTGCTCCTGTGCTGCAAGTCCAGCTCCCAAACCGTGAGTCCCAAACATGTGCCGAGCTGCCAAGACACATAGACCCTGCTTCAAAAGTCTCGACGTGCCTAGCCACCAGAGCCCGAAAGCAGGCATCGCATACAACTTGGGACCGGCAATGCAGCCCCACGAAAACAAACGAGACAACAGACCAAGACGACTACTCGCAACAGTAGTAACTTATCATCATAAGAATGACAAGAACAAGACCTAATGGCAACACCAACATGTAAAAATAAAAGTAAGGGTTGCAAAGGAACGAAACTAAACCCTTAAAGTAAACCTAAACCCTTAATTGAATTAAAGGAACCCTAAACCCTTAAAGGAAATTGTCCAACAAGCCGCTGAACTCCCTGAAGGCTTCCAGAAGCTGCGTTGATGTACACTCCGGAGCCCAGACACCCTCAGCGCTTGCGAACATGTTTTGACGGCTTATAGGTTTAGGGACGTCTAAGGGTTCAAGGATTGAGGGGCTTAGGGTTTTGGGGGTTTGGGGGTTTAGGAGCTTAGGGGTTTAGAGGCTTAGGGACGTCTAGGGGTTCAAGGATAGGGTTTTAGGGTTTTGGGGATTTAGGGGTTTAGGGGCTTAGGGGTTTGCGGGGTTGGGTCTTTAGGGTCTCTTGTGTTCCACTTTTGCAGGGTTTTGGAAGCTTTGATCGGGTTTCCGAACGGTTTCCGAACGGTGCTTCGGGAATTGGTGGGTTCTGTTAACTCAGAGGGTCCTGTGTGTACTGCCACTACAGAGTTAGGTCCCAAAAGATCATCCATATTATGGCTTTGGGGACCTATAATTCCAAAATTAAAAAAAATGGTCCTCTAGGTAAGGCTTTATGGAGGTCGCGCCAAGAGCCCGGATTTAAGGCTTAGAGGGTTTAGGGTTTCCCTCAAGGTCCATGTACTCATATAGTATATACATCGGCCCTAAAGTACTCCCTACAAAGGTACATTGGGCCCAAAGTATATGCTTTGTGGGTACATGGACCCCTAGGGCTCAGGATGACAAATGGTCCTAGGCACCTACATGCGCATATGGACCATTAAATGGGTATATATGGGGGGGCTACTAATTACCCAAACCAGAACGGTCAGGGCTTCAGAAATCACATGGGGTCCTACGTGCTACGGCTTTTGGAGAAGTTTGACCGCAGGGTCAAGGTCTTCGGACAGAAGCCGAAATCAAGCTACAACACCCCGTTCTTCGAATACCCCGAATTAAACCCTGAACCCGACCTGGGGAGCCTAAGCTAAACAAGGCCCTCAACCCTAAACCCTGAAGAAGATTGCTAGACAAAACACGTTTACAGGTTCCAAGCCTGGGCACGAAACCCGAAACTCAATGCACACCGTGGCAAACAAAAGCACACACGGCCCAAACCCGAAGCCCCCTCAAATCGGGCCTTAGCAATTAATAGGGTCTTATTTGCAGCCCATGATACTAACAATATAACAAGGAACCCCCAACAATAGTATTGGTAATTCTTATAAGGCCCCTATACAACGCCCCAAAAATGCCCCTTATAGCCATCCTTATAGACCCCTTTGAAAGAACACTTATTATGGTACCCAAAACGTCCCCAAATCAAGATCCGAAACTCCCAAACCGCAACAAACCGCTTTAGCGCAGACCTGCACCGTGCAATAGCTTATAGCGATCCCCTAAGCCCTACAGCCCTAAACCCTAACCCTTTTGTTAAAGACAAGCCGCCAGGGTGTCGGTGACGTTCTCCGGTGTATACATAGGCCCATCATCTGACCGAAGAGTCACATGTAGGGATTCAGAGCCCTCTCGTCATTAAGGAATCGAGTTGAAGCCGTGGTAAACAGCACGGCATATTAATCTGCAGCCCCTGATTGCATTGACATCATAATCAGAGTTGCTATATTCGAAGCTATAGTCGGTAGTCAAGGGGTTTTGGGCGCCAACCTAGTCTAGCCAAGGTTCCTGCACCTGTTGCGCGAGGTTTCTTCGGGTGGTGAGCCTTTGGAGATTACACAGCGGTTGCAGCAAATGCATCTTAGATCTTTGGCTCGGGTCGTTGCTAACTCGAGCGACAGCACAACCCTGCTTAGCAGACACAGCACTGGAGAGACGGCATGCAGTCAGCACATTAACAAGATACAAGTTGACCGGCTAGCTGTCCGGGTCACAAAACCTCATCTAAACCATTGACGGGCCGATGGAACAGCAGACGGACAGACAGACAGATCTGCTGATCGACACCGGCATACAACAAAGTCAACAAACTAAAACTTGCCCTCAAACCTTTGAAGCTCTATCGCCCCCGACGCAGTGAAGCTTTGGGAGGAAATCATGTGTGGCGGCTTGGATCTAAAGTACCCCACCGCCTGCCAAACTCGAAGCAGTCAACATCTGGGATATCCCATATACACCCCCTTAAAAAGAAGGCGAATAAAGTAGGAAGGCCAATAAAGTAGGGATATCACCATAAAATGCTTATGCTTAAGTGCTTTTTGGGTCCCTAAATTTACACGAAAGACCGAAGAGATCCTCTTTGGGTGTAGGATTCAACCCTAGGGGTCCAAAGGACTCGGGGTTTAGGGTTTAGGGTTTAGGGGTTTAGAGGTTTAGGGTTTAGGGTTTAAGGGTCTAGGGTTTAGGGTTTAAGCTACTGTAGCTCAATATGTAGGAGAGTACATGATTAGCAAATACTTGGACCCTTAGGGCCTCAGGGAAAGGGCTTGGGTCTGGGTCATGCACTCCTTTGAAGTTCAGGAGGGGCTTAGGGCTGAGGGGCTACATCATGCTGTCTGTAACCGGGTCGATGAAGGACATCGCCAATTCTGAAGGACCAAGGAATATGCCGAAGCCCAGGCCCTAAACCCCAAGCAACCTTCCAGTTGATTCAGGACCTATGTAATATAGGAACACTGGAAAGGTAGGTCTTTGGTCAGTTTTACAACCCTCTACCCCTAGATCCCAAACCAGAACCAGCCTGCATTGCAGAAAGACTTATCGTCACACTTGCTCATCTGCGGCGCAATCTGCCCGTCCTGTGGAAGCCATGGCTTCGCAAAGGTTTCTGAGATCCCAAACCTCTACTCTAGACCTTTCCAAGCTGACACTCTGCCCTGAGGAAACAAAGGTTAAGAAACTAGGATACTAGACCCAAGAGTGACCCAAGAATAAGAAATTGGATTAAAGGGGCTTATGACGCAACCTGAACCCTAAAAAGGAGAATAAGGGCCTACTCTTAGTCTTAGTTGCTGAGTTCAGAAGCCCCAAGAAGTGTACACTTTCAGCTTTATAGTGGCCCGTATTATCCCCAAAATGTGTGTAAAGTGTATCCACTTAGCTACTAAGTACTCTAGGTCCTAGGATAGGCTACCCGGATTCTTGGATTGGCTCAGGGGACTCTTGCCTGGTGTTGCCACCTGTCACGGCAAATTCCAACGGGTCAGCTTAGGGTTTAGGGTTTAGGGGCTTAGGGTTTAGTTTTTTGTTGGGGGGGAGGGAGGGGTTAGGGTTTGGGGTTTAGGGCTCACTGGCAATGCATGGCGGAACCGGTAATTAAGGGATACTAGAGTTGTTGGGTCTCTGGGTACTCCTGCTGGAAGCTTCTACCCCAAATACTGAACACAAGAAAGCTTGCACCTTAAGTTCTGAAACGTGAACGCTCGCCTGAAACTGTGAAACCTGAAGCCATAGCCTCCGGCGTTTAACTCTAAACGTCGGGCCTCAAACCCGAAATCTTGCGCCTGAGGTTGCAAGTGCCCAAATAGTCGGGTTTGAAGCACAAAGAACCTGAAAACAAAGAACCTTTCAGAGAATGGAACCAGGGATGTAAACCCGTACTAATTGGGTACTTGGATCCTGTGGGTGCTCCCTAAGCCCTAATTCCTGAAACCGGGTGCTTTCTACTTAAGTACTTCTAAACTCTGGGTGCTGGCCTTGCAGACAAAGCCAACAGAGTGAAGCAAGCCGTCGAGGCCACTGAAAGGGCCATAGCACCTTGGGTTTGGGGTTTAGGATTTTGGGCTTAGGGCTTGGGGTTTAGGGTGTAGGGACCTCATCGAGAAACCCAAACACCCGGGATCTAGGATTTTCGGTTTGGCTGTTTGGGGTTTAAGGCTCAGGATTTTGGTTTTCGGGTTAGTTTACCAAACACCCAGGGTTCAGGTTTTTGGCTTGGTTACCCCGGGCTTAGTGGTCAGGATTCTGGTTTTCGGGCTTAGAGTTGTGAGTCATGCGCCCTTATGGCTCAAGGCCTCTGATCTGCTTAAAGCTCACGGTTTAGAGTTGGGGTTCAAGATTTTGGGGCTGTTCGGCTGTTTGTGTGCTGACTCTTGAAGCTGCCATGGGATACTGCACAAAGACTAGCTTTCCGAGGTGACTTTAGACAAAAGCTCCTTGCCGAAGTACTTCCCACAACAGGACAGCTGATTTACACATGAAGCATTTCCCCGCAGCTAATAAAATGGCAGCAATTACGGTTGATGATATAAATCCTGCAGTACCCATAATAAGGCACATACCATAATTCCCATAGTTTAGGGTCCTTAAGGTAATGCAGGATTTATATCATCAACCGTAGAAGTCTCAGGCCCCAACTCTGAACATTGAACCCTTAATAACTATAATTGCGATGACGAGCGCCCCCCCCCCCGCCGCCCGAACCGCTAAACCCTAAACCCTGAACCCTAACCCAAAACCCCTGAACGCTAAACCCTAAACCTCCAAACCCTAACCCCTCAACCCTAAACCCGAAACCTCTAAACCCTAACCCCCTAAACCCTAAAGCCTAAAGTGCCCTGAAGTCCCGGAGCCCCTAAACCCTAAAGTCCCCAAACCCCAGCACTGCCCAGGTCAAGGAGCAACTTCGTGAAGGAATAGCCGGCCAGAAGCCTCAGATGAGGGATTTGGTTGCTAAGTTCATAAGCTCCGAACAGCCAAAACTACATATCAGTTCTACAGGGGGTGATATGATCCCCGAAAGTATAAAAGGATAATCCCCCGGCTACTAGGGGAAACAAGGTAGCCACAGACTATGCTTGAGGTGTATGGTGTGAGGATTGCATGTGTCGGGGCTGCAAGCTTCAGGGTTGCAAGGTTCGGGGCTCACCTTAAAACCATGAAGATATATACCGAGGCCCGAAGCGTCCAAAAGACCCATGACCCAATAGTGAGCCACGTGGGTTTAGGATGGTAGTAGATATGAGAGTATATGATGATTGCGTACTTGGACCCTTAGGGTATGTCTCGCGTGGTTCAGGACCCTACAACATGTACCCGACACCCTGAACCCTCGTTCCGCGGCTTTCTCGCAGCCAACGAACCGTTCTTCAAATGGGGATACAGGCCCTCTCAATATGGTCCCTTTTACGAGAGCCAGAAGTAGGGTTCAGAGGGGTCCCCTTTAATGTGGCTCTCCCTCGTACTACCTACCCCAAAGCTCCTGGACCCTCCTAGTGAGATCCCAAACCTTAGCCCCCAAAGCCCGAACCCTCCCCCAGAAAGCCCATGACCACTTTCGGAGCCTTAGGGTAGGAAAAGACATTCCGAAAATGGGGGGTACCTTGTCCCCTATTTTCGGAAACTCCCACCTGGGTTGAGGGTTTATGGGTTCTTCTAGGGCTCCAATTACCTACAGAAGGTTACTACCGATTTAATCAGGCAAAGGCGAAAAAGGTTGGAAAACCGTGCCCCTTGAGGCACGTGGAGTTTAACAATATGTAACCCAGCAACCCATGGTTCATGGCCAAGAGGCTATCTTTATATATATATATATATACACACACACACACTATCATTGGGGAGCTAAATCTCTAAACCCATCATAGGGATGGTCTTTTGGGACCAAAAAAACATGCTGCTAGTATATCTGGAGCCTGGGTGGCCTAGGGAATTGTTATCGCCCGGACTCACTCGAATGGGTTCAGAGGGTCCTCCACACACAAACCACCGCGGCATGAACGCCGTAATGTGCACGCCATGCACCACTTACCCTCCCCGTCAGAGCATGCTGCAGCCGTGGTGCCCCATGAAGACGGAAAGGAGCACCCAAAGAACGGCGATGCAGGCACATGTCTTGACGAACCTGCTCCACTGCAGCTCACTTTGTCGTTATGCTGTCTGCTCCGCACTCGTACGACTTGCCACAAACATCACAGCCTGAAACCTGCAACCAGCCCTGAGCCTCCACACATTTTTGGCTTCGGCAAGATGTAAAAAAACGGTAAACCCAAAGAACTAAACCCAAAGGCCAAGATTCAACCCCCCCAAACGCAAAAGGCCGCATCCCAAAACCCAACGAATGTAGCGCAATATCCCTAAATTCCATGCCCCGGGCCCTGGACCCTTTTAACCTGCATACCTCCATCAAAAGCTTAAGGAATGTCTGAATCTGCCTTCGTCCGCCAGCAGCGACGGATTCCTGGTGTCTTTGGCTCTGAACGGTAATGTAAGGGTCTCTCTAATGGTTCGGACCTCAGGAATTGCGGCGGCTTAGGGTTTAGGGGCATTTAAGGGTTCATGGGTGTACAGTGTTTTAGGGGGTGTAGGGTGCTTCAAGGGGTCCAAGTTGTTGCGTTGGTGGTCCACGCCAAGGGCTTTTAGGGGTCGAGTCTCCGAGGTGAAGGGAAGAAAAGCACTAGAATCCGCATCCCAAAAGCAGTTCAACCAACCTCTGACTCATTGCAACCAAGCCGAAACTCCTGAAAGCTCTAAAACAACAAGAGTGGGGGGGGAGTATATTCTAGCTGGCAATTTCAGAATACAAGCCGCGCACGAGGCCGTCGAAGACACTCAAATCAAATCCTGAATGCCCTCCCTAAATCCTGACCCTAAAGCCTGTAAGCCTTGCCAAGTCGCATCAGCTCTGCAGACAGCCTGAACTTGGAGCCAACAGTGCTCAGGAGTGTGTACTTCCCGTATCGCATTCTTGGTTCGGGGTGGCAGTTGTTTGGGGTTATAGGCTTCAGGGGTCTGCTGCTTCGGGTTGGGGCTTTTAGGTTTAGGATTTAGGGTCAGGGTGTTGGGCGCAGGGTGGCAGAAATTGGAAATGCTACGAAATTGCTAACCGATGGGGGATGACAAACCCTAAACCCTAAACCCCTAAACCCTAAACCCTAAACCCCTAAAACCTAAACCCCTAAACCCTAAACCCTAAAAGAAGACTCGCTACAGTAGTGTGGCTGCCAGACAAGGGCTGCTCGCACTTCATCCCCATACTGTCGCGCTTTTTTTCTAGAGGCTCCATAAAAAATACCCATTATATGGACTAGGTCCCGGAAAACCATTCTTGTTTCGGTTTTGGGGACGTAGATAAAGGTAGTAGATGGAGCCCCTGGGTCTATGTCGAAAACTTCTCGAACCCGCGAGTGCAGAAACCAGGGCACCCGACGAGACGGGAAGAAACCGGCGGACGAACACGAGAAACTCATCCCACCGAGATTTCTTTGCCTGAAACCCAGGCAGATAAAACCTGGATTCTGTCTCTGGTGGTTATGCAGCGGGATGGGAAGGCCCTTATAACCAGCAGAAGGAACTACACCGGAGACTATGGCTACACCGGGTATGATATGAAGCCTACATCGTACACCCAAAACCGCCCAATTGCCTTCGCATCTCTCACGGCGACCTCTGCCAACAGTCCCCTGGACTCGCCATCTGACGTCTCCATGCTGCGGAGAATTGATCCAGCAATTTAGGGTTTAGGCGGTTTAGGGGTTTAGGGTTTAGGGGTTTAGGACTATCGGGTTGGAGGGCTTTGTCGGGTTGGAAGCTTTGGGGCTCTATGACACTATGACTCTATGGTATAGGCTTAGGGTTGCAGGGCTTTAGGGTGTGTTTGGGTGTAGCCCAATGTCTGGGAGTCGCTTGGTTACATGTTGTTCTAGAGCTTAGGTGAAGATGGTTAAGGGGGTTAGGGTGTGAAGGACCGGGTGTCGGGATCGAGGGGGCCCTATAAAACCTACCCCTCAGTCCCGAAAAAGGTGGGTTAGTCGGGGTTCCGGTTGCCGGTTTTCTGTTTTTGTCGGGGCAAGCACATGAAGGTTTGGGGTGCGTACAGCGTTCTGGGCTCCGGCATTCCAAAGGGCTTAGACGGACAGGGATTATGATAGGGGTTGCAGAGTTTGCGATCAGGCTTCTGGGTTGAGGGTTTGTTAGGTTGATGCGTGACGGTTGCAATGCTGCTAGCTTTATCGGTTTGGGGACACACACACATTCTAACCCCTTGCCCCCCTTGAGCTTCATCGGCGAGGGATGCCGGCAAACATGCAGAGACCATGGCAAAATGCCTGTACCAGCATACCAATGCTCACTACACAAGCCTGTTCTTGCGAGAAGTTGAGACCATGACTGCTATTGCCACTGTCGTTGTTTACGCCTTGGCCAAAGCGAAAAACACCCCACTGCCGCGCGTGCCACAGCTGGCCTTCATATTTGCGCCGCTACGACTAAGACTGTAACCACAACTATTATGACGACGTCTGCTACTGCCACAGCCACCTGCTGATTACTGCTGCCGCTCCTGCTCCTGCTCCTGCTCCTGCTGCTGCTGCTGCTGCTGCTACTGCTACTACCAGCTACCAATGGACCAATACACTGTCAACTCAAGTCTTGGGTTCAAGCCTGAGCTCTAAAACCCACAAACCCCCTAAACTTAAACCCTAAACTTTAGAGCTCAACGATGCAGCATCCCGGGCGTCTAGCATTCATTCGGTTATCTTGCAATGGCGTGCAGCAGGACTCTACGCTCATGCATCTCGCACTCGCTGCCACTAGAAACTCTCATCTTAACACAGAGGCGATGAGGCTTTCCAGGGTCTATCGGTGTGTGTGTGTGTGTGTGTGTGTGTGTGTGTGTGTGCTCGTGGCTCTGCCTTGCTGAGGGTGTTCAGCACCGGTGACAGAACTGCCTGCACACAGGCAGAAGTTCACAAAGTAGTGAGCCCTGACCAGATTCAGATGTCAAACCGTTAGGCTGTGCACACATGTGTGTATCGATGCATGACTGCATGGACACATCCATACGTACGTACATACATACATGCATACACACATACATGCATGCATACATACATGCATGCATACATACATGCATACATACATGCATGTGGTTTCGAGTCCGGAATTCAGCTCGCATCTACATACTTGCTACAAGCTCCCTACCCTAAACCTCAGAATTTGGGGTTGTTAAGTCCCTTCACGCCAGAAGGCGCCCCAGTGCATCAGAAACATCGCTCTCAAACTAGAACAAAGGCCTTAGTGTTCCTTCGAAAGGTGCCCTCAAACCTTGTTCACGCTTCATGGCTTGTTTATGGAGGCCTTATATAAGAACTCAACAGGGTGTTGGGGTCTGTTTGGGGCTGAATCTGCAGAAGTTTGGCACCTCCAAGCTCCTGTATTTCAGAGCGAAACGAGCTCCATCATAGCATCGCTAATAGGATGTCGCCTGTCAGCAATCCTTCTTCAAGCTGGTTCATGTCGAACCCTGCTGTCCTTCGTGATGATAAAGACGGGACCCTTCACCAAAGCCTGAGCCCTCAGCCCCGAACCCTAAACCCTTAACCCCCATCGTAAACCCTAAAGCCCCAACCCGCCCTTAACCCTAAGCCCCAACCCTAAACCCGTTTGGGTGAACCCTCAGCCCCACACCTTCCCAACGCAGCTAGCAACCTTAAGCCTGGCGGACATCCCCTAACGTTCCAGGTGCCCACATTGATAGCGTCTACATCGGCCTTAATGCGGTTCTGACATACCTTTTGCAAAGCCTAAGTACACATACATTCGTACCTATGTATATGTAATGCTATATATATGTAAAAACGGACAGACAGACAGGCATACAGACAGACAGACAGACAGAAAGAGCGACAGATAGGTACATAGAGAGAAAGAGAGAAAAATAAAGAGAGAGAGAGAGAGAGAGCGAGAGAGAGAATTATGTGTGTGCAAATATGTGCAAGTGCATATATGTACACATACATGCATTTAAATTTGTATATATATATATATATATATATACACATACATGCATACATGACGTGAATATAAATATAAATATAAATACATATATGTATATATATACATATATATATATATATATATATATATATATATATATATATTATATATCCACGTATATACATGGTGCCTTAGGGATCTCTGCGAGCCTTGTACTGCTTGACACCGGCACCGCTGGCCTGCCGCGCCAGAAGTCATCGAGCCGAAAGAGTCAAGGGCTGCAAGGGTTGAGGTACTTAAAGGATCATGGGACTTAGTAACTCGGGTTCCTTAAAGGGATCTATGGGGTTTAGGGTTTAGGGTGTATTGAAATGATCATGGGACTTAGTAACTGGGGTTATAATTAGGGTAACTACACTTATAACCCAATTAAGGTACTTATAACCTTACTTACTAAGTCCCATGATCCTCCAAGTATTACGTAGAGGGTCATACCCTACCCCTGCTTTAAGATACCCAGTTTTCTGGTTAGGATCTGTTATATAGATATTAATTACTTTAAACAAGGCGTAGGGCATGAGCCTCTAGGGTTTAGGGATTCGGGTTTGGGGATGAGGGATTTTTTGGGGTTGAGGGATTAGGGTTGGGGTTGAGGGTTTAGGGATGAGGCTTTCTGTTTTCGGTTTATGAGTTTAGGGTTCGGGTTGTCGGGTTGCAGGCTTTGTTGGTTATTGAGCTTAGGGTTTATTGCTGTTTTAGCACCTTTGTCCAAGCAGCTGCAGGGTTTACTGTTTTAAAGGTTTGGGTTTACGGCGTAGGGTCCGTAGGCTGCGGGCACGCCGGGGGTGCGAGGGATCCAGATTGCGGCCAGTGTTTCATCTGCCTGTGACTACTAGGAGGGGGGCAGAGCTAGAAGTACCCTAAACGGTATCCTATTGGGGTTGCGATACTTGTAAGTCTTGGGAACAACTATTGAGGCCCTAGACCCTCCAAGCAAGACGCCGATTCGCAGCATCACCCTAGATAGCCCAAGCACCCGGGCCAAATGGTAGGGCTTCTGTGCCCAAACACTCTACTCTGATTTTTGCGGAGAAGTTAAGCTCGGTGCAAAAATCACGATGTGAACGTTTAATTTTGCGCCATTATGGAATTAAGCCCCTAAAACCCTCATGTTGATGGTGCTTTGGGGCCTCATTCCATAATGGTACCATAATGGAGCCTCTGGGTACCCAAAGCTGAAATCCTTCAGTCTGCACTCGATCTCAAAATGATGAAAGAACGAAGTCAGAAGACCTACACTGGGTTCTTGTTAAGGAGTTCAATTTAAGTTACCAGAACAAAGAAACCATATTATTTACCACAGATCCCATTAATGGTAACTTAAATCAAGCTCCTTAACAAGAATCCAGTTAAGCCTAAACCTTACCGAAGCCTTGAGCCGTGAACGCCAAGCCCCACGCCTGTGTCACCAGAATCCCACCGGGATTGAGCTTGCTCTTGCACATCTCATAAAACTCCTGAAAAGGCTGAAGAATCATTTGATATCAGCCACATGACCGACAAGACCCAGAGCCTGCAATCTGGAATGAGATCCTTTCCCACGAGGGGTTTAGAGTTTACCTGAAACTGTCCTTTATAGGCTTCCTTAAGATGATTTCCTTATATAAGTCTTTAAAAGTAGGATAGTCAGGGTTAAGGTAGGGTGTTTTATGGAATCCAGTCTTTCAAACGCCCGTGTAAGCCGGTGAATCGGAGTCTACCCGCATTCTGCAATGCTGTCCCAGAGGGTATAGCTTCTGGGTTCAGCACCCAGAGAGCCCAATACGCCGTCATTAAGGAATATACCCTAAATTAGAATGGGGTTCATTTTACGATTTAGGCTATATTCCTTAACTAAGGGGTATTGGGCTGGGCAAAGCTCCCCTACAGGTCCAAGTGCCCAAATTCTGGAGCATCCAGAGTATGAACTTGGGTACCCAAAGCCCTACTAGGTTGGTAGTTGGACCCTGAGGATTTGAAATGATCTGGGCCACTGTCCAGTCTTGATGATTGGGGCATCTACGACATGACAGTCTCTTTATCTAAGTTGTCGCGAGGAAGGCTTTCAATTTAGACATGCATGCAGTATCGATACAATTTTAAGAGGCACATACGAAAGGCAACCGGTAACCTCACAGAAACCCAGCCTGCTTGGCAGTGCAAACGGAAACTGAGCATAGAAAGGCGATCGTAACACGGACACAAGCCCACCATACTACGCACAACATCTAAATGATCAACAATGTGGCAGAAAGAATAACCCCTCATTTCAAAGTTGACGAACCCATGATTCGGCTGGGGCAACGCCTGGCAGTAGAGCCAGTAGCAGGGACCTCCTTCGAGAGGGTCATCCAGGTCCATGATGATAACCTCTGCTGCTTAGGTTGAAATTTAATTTATCGGTTTTGGGATTCCGCGGTCCGGTGGTTTTCTGGGATCCTACCTGCGGTCTGTGAGTAGCACGGTATTGGTCCACGTTGATAATGTTCTGAGAGAAGTCGGAGAATGCCACAATCTCAGAAGTCACAGTCACACATGCAAACCGGCCGCTCTTTGATCTCACTGTTGAACGCATCTCACAGGGTTCACTAAAGTATCCTTGTTTGGCGAAAACCTCTTTAAGTAACACGAACGCCAGAAGACCCTAAACACCTACAACACCATGAATCCCCC